TATGGCTTAAAGCAATCATCTAGATAGTGGAATCTGAGATTTCATCGAACCATTATTTCAAATGGGTTTACGATTATCGATGAAGATCACTGTGTGTACGTTAAGTGGTCCAAGGACATTTTTTTGATATTGTCATTATATGTGGATGACATATTATTGGTTGGAAATGACAAAAAGATGATTGTCGCCACTAAAAAGTGGTTGTTCTCTACATTTGAGATGAAAGACATGGGTGAAGCGAGCTATGTGCTCAGTGTTAAGATCCTTAGGGATCTCTCTAGGAGACTTCTCAGTTTGTCTCAAGAGACTTACATTAAGGCTATCCTAGAGCGATTCCAGATGCAGAGCTGTAAACCCATTGATACTCATGTTGTGAGAAGCGAGAGCCTAAGCCTTGATATGGGTCCTAAGACTCCAAAAGAGAAAGAAAAGATGGCCTGTGTACCCTACGCGAATGCTATTGGAAGCTTGCTGTACGCTATGATGTGTACACGCCCTAACATTTGTTATGCAGTCGGATTGGTGAGTTATTACCAATCCAACCTAGGACCAACTCATTGGAAAGTAGTTAAGAGGATATTACGATATCTAAAAGGGACTGCAAACTACACACTTTGCGGAAGTTCAGATCTACGTCTAGTTGGCTATTGTGATGCTGATTGGGGAGGAGACTTAGATGAGCGTAAGTCCACTTCAAGCTACGCTTTCGTGCTTTGTGATGGTGCTATTTCTTGGAGCAGTAAGAAGCAATCTTGTATCGCTTTATCGACTATGGAGGCTAAGTTTGTGGCTTATTCATTTACTGTTCAGGAAACCGTTTAGTTGAGGAGATTCCTTTAGCATTTGGATATTGTAACACACACTTCAGACCCTGTGACTATTTATTGTGACAACATGGCTGCACTCGCTTACGCTAAGCATCCTAAGTACCATGAGAGAACCAAACACATTGATGTGAGGTTCAACTTTATCAGAGACATTGTGGCGGAGCATATCCTTACGAGTCGCATGGTTGTGTACCTTTTGACTAAGCCCATTACTAGAGATGTTTATCTTACTCATGTTAGAGCTTTAGGACTACGTAGGTGGTGATATATGTGTATTCAGTTAAACTCTTATTTTTTGGGGGATGTTTATGCCATTAGTATTCATATTTTTTTGTATTACAGATTTATGTTTACTACTTTTTGCGATGGTTTGTGAATTAGCACACACAGAATAAATAAATTTGATGTTAGCAGGCAAGATTGGCTCACTCATACGAGCAATTGCCCTTAGCGCTAGGTAGCGAGCAAGGATACGACAAATGGCTTATTGTATTTGGAGCCAAGAGAGAGGTTAAAATTATCCACTAGCTATGTCACCGTGGTTGGAGCTAAGATAAGGTCTTGTTAAAGACCGACCATGGATATGAAAGTACCCACTTTTTCATGATGTGCCTGTTATGGATAGCCAGATGCGAGATCTCATTTGATGCCTGAGAGGTGAGCAAATAGAGAATTCGAGTTAGACGCTAGGAAGCGACTTGTGCGCTTAAGAGCGACTAGACTAAGATCTATATGGTGTGTGATTTTAATATCACCCTTTGGAAGAGTTACTCCACTGTAGCATGCATTCGTATTGTATGTGCTTATCGAGCCGTTAGTGAGGTGAGAGAATGGATCCCTGCTTCCTCACCGTGTAAGTCCTAAAAGTTATTTTTTGTCACGACCCAAACCCGCCCCTATAGGTTTAGCGTCGTAACCGGCCAGTAATCCTCGGATTACCGAAGGCCTCTTAGCAGATTAGCAAGTAATAAGGGGCTGCAGAAGCAACTAGACAAAAAAAACAAAGTCCAATGAGCTGTGATGACGTACATGGGACAAAGTAAGTCAAATATATTTATCTTCATAAGCATGCTAGTCAAGGGACACCAATATTCACAAATATTTACAGACTGTAGCTTCCAGATCCTGACTTTACAAACAAACAGAGACTAGCATAACTACAAAAACAACCATGGCAGTTGACTTCAACTGGAACCTCCTCGGGAGGCGTAATGGTTGGCTGACAAAACTGGGGTGTAGGCCATCAATCCTGGGCCTGGTCTCGTACTTGCTCACCTACATACATAATATAACGAGTGAGCTAAAGCCCAGTGAATAATAACAGAGTAAAGGGGTTTAATGAATGATGACCATATTGAATACAGAAATCAGAAATCAGTCCCTTATCAGATCGGAAACATAATCATATTCGTATTAGAAAAGAATCACAGTCATATCCATATTCAAATCATGTGTGGTACATTCCCCTTAGCACAACATATCATGTTAGTCAAGCATAGTAAGTCCCATAATGGAACCTCCGGTACCGGGTAACATATCTGTGCCACGGTATTGTTTCCCCTGGACGAGGGCCTGTACCACGGTATTAACCCCCGGGCTAGGGCCTCATGACCATGTGCCTTAGTATTGTGTCCCCTGGGTGAGGGCCTCGGCTAAGGATACCACGTTTACATTTCAAGAAAAATTGGACAATCATTCATTCATTCAAAACATAGCATTTCAGAACTTATCATCTCATGTCATTGGAAAATAATTAAAGTTAAACATAACTTTACAGAGTTATTACTCACAAACAATTGGTCGGCCCAACTAGATGGTAAAACGACTCTTCACTTGTCCTGAGGTGTGTGACCAACACGAACACGCATACAATTATCCGCTTGAAACACACGCTCGAGTTAGAGGTAACTTACTTCGTTATTCTCAGTGTGTGCTTAACCATTAACCTCATTATGGAGTCTTAAACATGGTTTAGGAATGCCTAAGATGGGATGAGGATGCAAAGATGCACTTTAAAACACTTTTCAAATCTTTGCTGAAACAGGGGTCCCGCTCGAGCGTGTACTTATACGCTCGAGCGGACATGCAGACAAAAGGAATACGCTCGAGCGTTGATTACTCCGCTCGAGCAGACAGGCTACAGTAAAAGTACTACCCGTTCGAACGTGAGACACAAGTCCTCGCTCGAGCGTGAATTACCCCGCTCGAGCGGACTGTAAACACAGGCAAAGTACTGGATACATGAAATTACCGCTCGAGCATCATTTTACCCCGCTCGAGCGTACTGCATGAACCCAGTATGTACGCTCAAGCGTGAGTCCAAAATCTGGAATTTCCAGATTCGAGCCTCAAGCTCAAAACTCAACTACAATGCATCAAATGCAACCCTTTTGGGCTAATTTTCTGGAAAACACTTGTAAACTCATAGTATAAGATGTTTCAAAGCTCAATTTGTAAAATCAAAGCCCAATGGTGAGTCAATTGAACACAATTTCAAGTAAAACTTCAAGAATTAATAAAGAAAAAACATGCAAGTGTTCAATTGAATCCAATGCTCCAAGAATGTGGCCAAATGCAAGATTAAACTCAAAATCATGATGAACTCATGACTATAACTAGAACATAGCCTTGCATGCAAGAAATTCCATGAAAACACTTCAAATTGTTATGATATGAGCATGCATGCATGAATTAAGCTTAAATTCAACATGTTTGAGCTAATCCTAGACTTAGGTAAGTAATTTCATATGAACCATGCAAGAACTAACTCAATTCACAATTAAGAAGGTAATTCTCCTACCTTAAGTCTTAAATTCCAAGCCTAGAAGCTCAAGTATGCACACAATTCTTCAATTCTTCCAAGTTCAAGCTCAAATCTCTTGTTGAAAACAAGTCTCTCACACTCTCACTCTTTCTCACGTTTTTTGTCTCTAAAGGTTGAACAAGAGTGATGTATCAAAGGCTCCAAACAATGTTGTAGGTAGTGGCCCACTAAAGGGCAATTTCGTAAATAATTGGACTAATGTAATTTAAAGTTATTTAATCTAATTTAATCGCTCCGAACCGAAATTTAATTAAACCTACCATAAAATTCTATAAATCCTAACTAGCACATAAATCAAGTCAATTTCTGATTCGGACGCCGATAAGGCTTTCAATTCGCAATTTAAAGTCAGAGTCATGAACAAATCATTTTATCGCAAACAGATAGAAACACGTAAATAATGCAATACACATGCATATTAATTCCAAATCCTTCCTAGATTACTGTTAAGCATAATTAATCATGAATTAGCATTAATCGGAGGTCGGGGTCGTTACAGTCTTCCCCCCTTAAAAGAGTTTGGTCCTCCAAACTCGAATTACCTTCATTCGGAATTAACATTGGGTCCAAAGGGAACAAATCCGGATATTTCTTCATCATGTCTTCCTCGGTTTCCCAAGTTGCGTAGGTTTCTCCGTGGTTCTGCCAATCAACTTTTACCAATGCTATTTCTTTATTTCTCAACTTTTTGATCCGACGACTCACAATCTGGATAGGTCTCTCCTCATAAGTGTAGTCATCTTTCAAAAGCACTTGTGTTGGTTCAATGATGTGAAATGGATCTCTCAAGTACTCTCGAAGCATCAATACATGAAAGACGTTGTGCATATGTTCCAGTACTAGAGGCAAGGCTACCCGATACGATACTGAATTGATCTTTTCGAGAACTTCATAAGGTCCAACATACCTTGGCGCCACCTTGCCCCTAACACCAAACCGACTTTGACCCTTCATCGGGGTCACCTTTATGAACACATGGTCTCCAACTTCATATTCCCTATCTCTCCTTCGAACATCGGCATAGCTTTTCTGCCGACTCTGTGCAGTTTTCAGACGCTGCTGTATCAGCTTCACTTTCTCGGTCGTTTCTTGCACTAGTTCCAGTCCTAACAAAGGTCTATCACCTACTTCAGCCCAACATATCGGAGAACGACACTTTGTTCCATATAAAGTTTCGTAAGGAGCCATTCCAATGCTTGAATGGTAACTATACACGAATTCAGCTAATGGCAAGTAGGTCTCCCAATTTTCCTGGAAGTCTAACACACACATTCTGAGCATATCCTCCAGTGTTTGATTCGTTCGTTCAGTTTGGCCATCTGTCTGTGGGTGATAGGCACTGCTTAGTCTCAATTCAGTTCCCAAAGCCTATTGCAAACTCTGCCAAAACCTCGATACAAACTTCGAGTCCCTGTCAGACACAATAGATACTGGTACTCCATGCAATCTCACAATTTAGTCATGTAGATATTAGCCAATTTATCAGCGTTACAAATAGTTTTGACAGACAGAAAATGGGCAGACTTAGTTAAACGGTCAACTATAACCCAAATAGAGTCCATACCTCGAGAAGAACAAGGCAATCCCACGATGAAGTCCATGGTAATGTGCTCTCATTTCCATTCCGGTATTAGGAGTGGTTGTAGTAAACCAGCGGGTCGTTGATGTTCAGCTTTAACCTGTTGGCAATGTAAACATCTAGCCACAAAGTCTGCAATACTCTTTTTCATTCCAGGCCACCAAAAGTTCTGTTTCAAATTATGATACATCTTCGTGTTCCCCGGGTGCATGGCAAACTTACTGCTATGAGCTTCGGTCATCACACGTTTTCTCAAGTCACCACAATCAGGTACACAAAGACGGTTCTGAAATTTCAGCACATTATTTTCAAATACAAACCCTGGCCTCGGCTTGGAATCAAGTTCTTCCATGATCTTTTTCATGTATTCGTCTTCAAGTTGCCTTTCTCGGATTTCTTCAATGATCGCAGGCTGAGCGGAGATAGCAGCTAGTATTCCGCCCTGTTCCCGTATCACAATCTCGATTTCATTTCTTTCCAAATCACACAGCAGTTCTCTCTGGCTGGTAAGCAGGCATGATAAACTTCCCATTGATTTTCGGCTCAAAGCATCTGCCAAAGTATTAGCTTTCCCTGGATGATACAAAATTTGTAAGTCATAGTCCTTGATCAGTTCTAACCACCGCCTCTGTCTCATGTTCAATTCTTTTTGGGTGAAGAAGTATTTCAAGCTTTTATGGTCGGTATACACTTCACAAGTTACCCCATACAAGTAATGATGCCTGATTTTCAAAGCGAACACTACAGCTGCTAGTTCAAGGTCGTGTGTTGGGTAATTCTTTTCATGAGGACGAAGTTGTCGAGAAGCATAGGCGATGACTTTCCCATTTTGCATCAGTACACAGCCCAACCCTTTATATGAAGCATCACTGTAAATCTGAAACCCATCGGTACCATTAGGTAAGGTTAGGGTTGGTGCAGTTACTAGCCTGGTCTTTAGTTCTTGGAAAGCTGATTCACGCTGATCATTCCAGTCAAACTGTACATTATTCTGTGTCAATTGTGTTAATGGCATTGCAAGCTTTGAGAAATCTTTCACAAATCTCCTATAATACCCAGCCAATCCCAGAAAACTCCTAACTTCTGTCACATTCATTGGTCTAGGCCAATCCACAATAGCTTCAATCTTTTGGGGGTCTACAGAAACACCATCCCATTAATTACATGGCCCAAGAATGCTGCACTGTCAAGCCAGAATTCACATTTGGATAATATAGCATATAGCCTCTTTTCTCTCAAAATTCGCAAGGCAGTTCTCAAATGGTTTTCATGTTTCTTTCTGTCTTTAGAGTAAATTAGAATGTTATCAATAAACACAACAATGAATTCATCAAGATATTGTTTGAAGACCCTATTCATTAGGTCCATAAAAGCTGCGGGTGCATTTGTTACCCCAAAAGGCATTACTAAAAACTCATAATGTCCGTATCTAGTTCTGAATGCAGTTTTCTCTACGTCTTCTGCTTTAACCCTTAACTAATGATATCCAGATCGAAGGTCAATTTTTTAGAACACTTTGGCTCCTTGGAGTTGGTCAAATAAATCATCTATTCGAGATAATGGATATTTGTTCTTAATGGTTACCTTATTCAATTCCCGGTAGTCAATGCACAGTCTCAAGGATCCGTCTTTCTTTTTAACAAATAGTACCGGAGCACCCCAAGATGAGGTACTTGGACGAATAAATTTCTTGTTTAGGAGTTCCTGAAGTTGGGCTTTCAGTTCTTTCAGTTCAGAAGTCGATATCTTATATGGAGTCTTGGAGATGGGTTGTGTCCCAGGTGTTACATCAATGGTGAACTCTATTTCCCTACCAATCAAGTCCCCGGGCAGATCATCGGGAAACACATTAGGAAAATCACAGGCCACAAGGATAGCTTCTACCTTAGTGTCATCAGGTGATGTAGTTAGTATACAGCACAAGTATCCCGTACATCATTTCCTAAGCAATTTTCTGGCTTTCAAGGCTGAAATCAAATATGGGGAGAAACTACCCCGTCCCCAGTAAAGGTAAATTCGAGCATACCCGGTGGCTTAAACACAACAGACTTACTTGTACAATCAATGGTAGCACAGTATTTAGTCAACCAGTCCATTCCCAAAATACAATCAAAGTGAATAATGTTCAAGGGTATTAAATCGACATACAATGTCATCTCTCCAAATACAAGATCACATGCCGGATAAACACAAGCACACATCATGGAACGCCCAGATGGTATAGATATAGATAGTAAGTAGTTCATGGGTTCTAACGGTCTAGTTAATTTTTGAGAAAAAACATGCGATACAAATGAATGTGTGGAGCCAGAATCAATTAGCACATACGCATTCTGAGCACAGATAGAAATAGTACCTGACACTACCGATTCAGTATTTTGCACATCTCCGGGCACTAAAGCGAATACTCTCCCTTGCCTCAATGCTTCATTCCCATTGTTGCCCCTGGCATTACTTCTGAAGTTTGATTTGGTCACTGAAACAGACCCTGCTAAACTGGCTGTGGGGTGACTGGTATTCCCTAATCCCATCGGACAATCTTTCATCATATGGCCCACTTTGCCACACCGGTAACAGGCGCCTGACGCGCTTTGGCATACTCCTCTATGCCTCTTGCCACAATCTGCACAAGTCGGTATAGACCCACTACTCTGGCTGGAACTGCCGGAGGATCCTGTGTTTTGTCTCTTTAAAAACGATCGGCCCCGTCTAAAATTGAACCCGGTCCTCTTGCCCTTCCATTCGGTTGGTGGGTTTACAGTCTGTTTCTTTGCTGCTATAGTAGCTTCTGCCATTAATGCCCTGTCAAGTACCTCTACGTAAGTAGGCAATTTCAGGACACCCACCCAATCAAATACTTCTAAATCCAGGCCTCCCTCAAACTTTCGTGCCTTCTTGTAATTCGTGTCTACCATTTGTGGAGCAAAACGAGCCAGTTCGGTAAACTTAGCTTCATATTCAGCTACGGCCATTTTGCCTTGTTTAAGTTCCTGAAATTCTGAAACTTTTCGGTCTCGGAAGTAGTGAGGAAAGTACTTGTCGTAGAAAACTTTCCGGACTCACGACCCAAACCCGCCTCTATAGGTTTAGCATCGTAACCGGCCAGTAATCCTCGAATTACCGAAGGCCTCTTAGCAGATTAGCAAGTAATAAGGGGCTGAGGAAGCAACTAGAAAAAAAAAAAACAAAGTCCAATGAGCTGTGATGACATACATGGGACAAAGTAAGTCAAATATATTTATATTTATAAGTATGCTAGTCAGGGGACACCAATATTCACAAATATTTACAGACTGTAGCTTCCAGATCCTGACTTTACAAATAAACAGAGACTAGCATAACTACAAAAATAGCCATGGCAATTGACTTCAACTGGAACCTCCTCGGGAGGTGCAATGGTTGGCTGACAAAACTGGGGTGTAGGCCATCAACCCTGGGCCTGGTCTCGTACTTGCTCACCTACATACATAATATAAGGAGTGAGCTAAAGCCCAATGAATAATAACAGAATAAAGGGGTTTAATGAATGATGACCATATTGAATACAGAAATCAGTAATCAGTCCCTTATCAGATCGGAAACATAATCATATTTGTATTAGAAAAGAATCACAGCCATATCCATATTCAAATCACGTGTGGTACATTCCCCTTAGCACAACATATCATGTTAGTCATGCATAGTAAGTCCCATAATGGAACCTCCGGTACCGGATAACATATCCGTGCCACGGTATTGTTTCTCCCGGGCGAGGGCTTGCGCCACGGTATTAACCCCCGGGCGAGGGCCTCATGGCCATGTGCTTGGGCGAGGGCCTTGGCTAAGGATACCACGTTTACATTTCAAGAAAAATTGGACAATCATTCATTCATTCAAAACATAGCATTTCAGAACTTATCATCTCATGTCATCGGAAAATAATTAAAGTTAAACATAACTTTACAGAGTTATTACTCACAAACAATTGGTCGGCCCAACTAGATGGTAAAACGGCTCTTCACTTGTCTTGAGGTTCGTGACCTACACGAACACGCATATAATTATCCGCTTGAAACACACGCTCGAGTTAGACGTAACTTACTTCGTTATTCTTAGTGTGTGCTTAACCATTAACCTCATTATGGAGTCTTAAACATGGCTTAGGAATGCCTAGGATGGGATGGGGATGCAAAGATGCACTTTAAAACACTTTTCAAAACTTTGCTGAAACAGGGGTCCCGCTCGAGCGTGTACTTATACGCTCGAGCGAACATGCAGACAAAAGGAATACGCTCGAGCGTTGATTACTCCGATCGAGCAGACTGCAGGCTACAGTGAAAGTACTGGATGCATGAAATTCACGCTCGATGGGCGCTCGATACCCGCTCGAGCGTGAGACACAAGTCCTCATTCGAGCGTGAATTACCCCGCTCGAGCGGACTGTAAACACAGGCAAAGTACTGGATACACGAAATTACCGCTCGAGCGTCATTTTACCCCGCTCGAGCGTACTGCATGAACCTAGTATGTATGCTCGAGCGTGGAGTTTCCCGCTCGAGCGTGAGTCCAAAATCTGGAATTTCCAGATTCGAACCTCAAGCTCAAAACTCAACTACAATGCATCAAATGTGACCCTTTTGGGCTAATTTTCTGGAAAACACTTGTAAACTCATAGTATAAGATGTTTCAAAGCTCAATTTGTAAAATCAAAGCCCAAGGATGAGTCAATTGAACACAATTTCAAGTAAAACTTCAAGAATTAATAAAGAAAAAACATGCAAGTGTTTAATTGAATCCAATGCTCCAAGAATGTGGCCAAATGCAAGATTAAACTCAAAATCATGATGAACTCATGGACTATAACTAGAACATAGCCTTGCATGCAAGAAATTCCATGAAAATACTTCAAATTGTTATGATATGAACATGCATGCATGAATTAAGCTTAAATTCAACATGTTTGAGCTAATCCTAGACTTAGGTAAGTAATTTCATATGAACCATGTAAGAACTAAATCAATTCACAATTAAGAAGGTAATTCTCCTGCCTTAAGTCTTCAATTCCAAGCCTAGAAGCTCAAGTATGTACACAATTCTTCAATTCTTCCAAGTTCAAGCTCAAATCTCTTGTTGAAAACAAGTCTTTCGCACTCTTACTCTTTCTCATGTTTTTTGTCTCTAAAGGTTGAACAAGAGTGATGTATCAAAGGCTCCAAACAATGCTGTAGGTAGTGGCCTACTAAAGGGCAATTTCGTAAATAATTGGACTAATGTAATTTAACGTTATTTAATCTAATTTAATCGCTCCGAACTGAAATTTAATTAAACCTACCATAAAATTTTATAAATCCTAACTAGCACATAAATCAAGTCAATTTCTGATTCGGACGCCGATAAGGCTTTCAATTCGCAATTTAAGTTCAGAGACATAAACAGATCATTTTATCGCAAACAGATAAAAATACGTAAATAATGCAATACACATGCATGTTAATTCCAAATCCTTCCTAGATTACTGTTAAGCATAATTAATCATAAATTAGCATTAATCAAAGGTCGGGGTCATTACATTTTTCCAATTACTTCACTTTGTGCCTTTTGTGAGCTTTGATTATGTCATAAAATGAGAAGTTGATGATCGACTACTTTGGTATGTTGCTTGCGGTCATGTATGATTCGGCTTTAAGGGATATTACTGGGAAAGCGGTCAATTCCGAGTTAAATGATATGAGGGTGAAGGGAAGATCATCTAGTTTTACATCTCTGTTCTATATTCACTATCGACAACTCACATCGCTCTGTATGGGATGCTGATTAGATGTGAATATAATGTGAGACCTAGGAGGGTCAAACATGCTCTTTGAGGGATTAGAGATGTTCTGGACCGATGTAACTAGATGGGTCTGGGTACATGAGATACTATTTCTGAATAACCCAGATTTTTAATTATTCTGTAAAATTTATACTAATATTATTTAATCACAATTAGGAAAATATATAATTTGTATTATTATGTGTAATTTTATAAAATAATATAATTATTAGAAATTTAGGAAATCTTGTCCAGATTTATCAAATAAAAGCAAATCAAGAACCATTAATTATTTAGATTACAAATCTGCCGGAATAAGAATTGGAAGGCCATTTGGACACCTAGGCTTGGGTAGAGGGAGTGAGTCATCACCTTGGGGCCTTCGGATAAAGTTGAGTCACCACTTGAAGCTTGTTTATAAATAGGAGAGGAAGTGCTGTAAGTGAACGGTGAAATAAAGAAAAGGAAAGAAAGGAAGGAGAAAGAAAAGAGAGAAGAAAGAGTGAGGTATTAAAGTTAAGGTGAGTTATATTATACCTTGAGTCACCATAATATATTTTATGTATGTTTTGATTAACCATATTTATTTTATACAAGTATTATAAGTTGTTATAAATTATATTAATATTTTGATTACGTAGATTATTTCCTGACCCCTATTTGCTTAAAAGGAAACCCATGGATTTGTTTGTTTTATATTTTAAGAATATTTGACTATGACCTTATATACAATTATGTTTTGTAAGTACCACCATGGGAGTCCCATGCTTTGGGGGACTTAAATAACCATTGGCCTCTGTTTGATCACTTTGTGGTCCTCTGTTTGTCATAGATTCATTGACCTCTGTTCTATGTGGAGCAAAGTGCTATGCGGAGATAAGTGCTACACTATTGTGGGAGTCACCTCTATAATCCGTACAAGCCACCTCTTGAATCCGTACCTCTGTTCTGAGTGTCACTTCTGTGACCTCTGTTCTGTTTTGTTCAGTACCGGAGTTATAGTTATTTATTTACATAATTTCTGTATTTCAATTTATGTCACTTAAATGATTTGTTTACCAATGTTTTATTCTCCAAACTGAGTTATGTAAATATTTTGGCCTAACTAACTATCCATGGTTATTTCGTGTCCCTTATACTCTTAGTATAATATTTCTCACTCTGCCATTTGCTTATAGTTGTTTAATAATTTTCAAGAAACAGTGCAATTCAGAAATAGCTTTTGAAAAGTCTTAGACACAGGGCTGCGGAATAGACACACACAGCACTTTTCTGATATTTTTCTAAGTAAATATCGGCATTTTCGGTCCATTAATTTTGTTATAGAAATAGAAACTCCAATGATTATTTTGGTACCCTCACTTAAATATTACTTCTGCTCGCGTTTATTAATTTGTTTATGAATTGGTCGGAGGTAACTTCAGTAACCATCACGATGCTTAACTCTTGGGTACGGGGAGCGGGTCGTGACAAATGGTATCAGTGCAATGGTTTATAAAATAATAAATAAATAAATAAATCATCATTGGAGCATAGGACACACACACATTTAATAAATAGGGTAGCGGATAATTAGTACCTACATGTTATATTTTATTAGTCGATTTAATTATATTATAATTTTATATGATTTTATATATATATATGTTTTTTTTTTTTGCACATAATTTGTGAAGGATAATAGATATAATTTATATTTGTTATAGCAAAAGAAGGAAAACAAACAAAGGGTGTCGGGCTCAAACACCCACCAAAATTATAATATAATTAAATGCATGAAATTTCCAGTTCAATAAAAAAAAATTAATTTGACTTTTTTTAAAAGTGGGTTCAAATTATAAAGATACTAATTTTGAAACTATTTCCCATCAACGAAAAGTTCATTTCAAATTTTTCAACTCTTGCATATGATTCTGTCATTGTGTTCTCATTTATTTTTTATTTTTTATCATAAACAAAACGAGTGAAAAGTTTTTAAATCACCAATTATTTCTTATTTTGGCCAAAACAATTTTTGACAACTGGACATTGAGTGGTTTTTGGTAAAGTTTTTTTTTAGGTAATATTTTCTATCAGATTAATCATCTAATATATATTTATCAGAGTGCGCAGCGGATAACTTACACATATGACAAATTTCGAGGACGAAATTTTAAAAGGAGGAAACATTGTAACAACCCA